TCAGTCCAAAGGTTTAAAGGCTCCAACCTACAAGATTGCATTCACAATCGAGATACCAGCTGCAGGGGCAGGTCCGCAGACCACCTATGCTGAGTTACAAATTCTGGGGTTCTCACAGCAGCCCCCCTTAGGTTAGATAATTTGCTGGAATGATTCAACAGGGCTTAAGAAAACACTTTACTTGTGTTTACTGGTTTATTACAAAGGATATAACTCAGCCAACTGGAAGAGATGCATAGGGCAAGGTATGGGAGTTTGTATCAGCAGGTGACTGTGTGGCATAACTAGTTTGATTAAAATTTGCTATTTTAAAGACTTCCTTACTTAATTAGATTAAAGAAAATTCAAGTGAGCTTTAAAGGAAGATGCTACGACCACACTTTTTTACACACTGAGGTCTCTAGCTGAGGAGTCCAGCCCTACAGTAGGGCTGGCACACAGTCCTTCCCATGTGAACGTGTAATAGGCATGATACTTTGTTCTTGTTGTGGCACCTTTGTCTCTGTTATCTTTGAGGAGCACACATTCAAAGACCTGCTTGAAAGTGCATGGGCGCCTACAGACAGTCTACCCAGTGCTATGAGCTCATTATAGCTTTTCATTTAAGCTGCATTGTTGGGAGAGAGGTAACACCAGGGGGGACAAATGGTTGCAGGGGTTCTTGCATTGATTTTTCTATCAGCATCTCATTTTAAGAGCAAGGTGACTGCCTATTTAAGGCCTGACATCCTGGCCAGTATTATAATCCCATTACTTGTTTGCCTTGATTTCTGATTTTTTTCCTTCCTCTGGAGTGTAATTTTTTCCTTCCTCAAGTATAAAGATGGAGACCAGTGAGTCCATCTTTGATTTTCCCTAGACCACTGTTAAACTGGGATTGTTCGGAAATACTAGTAAAGTTTTCTGCATATACCACATAGGGGTTCTCAAGCAGTGGCAGTTTTGCTCCCCAGGGGATATTATGCATGTCCGGGTTGTTTCGGGGGTGTCACGGCTGGGGGTACTGCTACTGACATCTGGTGGGTAGAGGCCAGGGAGGCCGCTAAACATCCTACGGTGTGTGCCCCGGACAGTTACCCAGCTCCAGTGTTGGTACTCAAGTTGAGAAACCCTGGCCTATAGTAATTCAGTTGCTATCTACATCAGATTATCTTTTCTCTGAACACATCCAGTCCAGTTTAATTGGGCAGAATAGTCCTGCTTTCTTTTCCAAAAGTGAATCTTTTCTTTCCAAAAGACAGAAACACTGAGTAGAGTGAAGTGAAGGGAAGCTTCTTTGAAAGAAACTTTTATAAAACAACCTGCACCTAGGACAGGAACTCAAATCAGCTAGAAGTGCTTAGACACCCCAGGCTTCCCATTTATTCAGAAGTTGTGAGGTGGCAAATGAAATGTGAAGCACTTGGCCGGGTGCCTGGGGGAAGGTAGGTGCTCAGTCAGTGTCTTTCTTTGGTGCTTGCTTGTGGTAACGTAACCTTGTGGTGGCTGGGTACCTATAATCACTGTTGCACCACTGAGAGTTTCAGCAAGGCCTTGCAAAGACTGTGGAGTTTTAGAAATAGACAAACCCAGTGACAGCCATCTCTGTGGATATCTTTGTGTTCCCTTCAGAAATTTGCTAGAAACTCCAAATTTTATCTGTTAGACTGCATGTGATTTTTACAATAATTCATGTGACAAACATGGATTGTTCTATATCTGTGCTAGGCATGGAAGTCAGTCATTATCCCCACCGTTATGATAACTTTCTGTCTACCTGAGAGGATAGACCCTGCACTTGCAATTATGTACCTACTGTTACTCAACTCAGTGGCCATAAATGTTACTGAGGAGACATGTGGGATGTATGAGAGGGTATTCGAACAGGGTTGGGGGACAAACCTAGTCTGCAAGTTCAAGGAAAACACACTTGAAGAAATATTTAGGGTTAGGTTGAATTAACCAGGTGAGAGGGAGCAGGTTAGGTGGTAGAAACTGTAGAGGACAGAACAAATGTGATGAGAGAGCTATGGAAAAAGAGCCTTCCAGAAAGAGAAAGGGTGCAGTGTTATAACAGTGAGTGGCCTGTGTTACGGTTGGTAGAGAGTGTCTGAGGTGAGGCTGTGGATGCAGAGTGGACGAATCGTGTAGGGCCTTCAAAGCCATATTGAGCATTTTGGGTATTATCCTAAGACTTATGCAAAGCATGGTGACATGATCAGATTTGCCTTTAAAGGGGTTTGCTTCATCACTTAAAATTTCAAAGACTTTTGATTTCTGGGAAATTAAAATACCACCTCTATTTTTTTAGGTGTGTGTGTGTGTGTGTGTGTGTGTGCGTGTTTAGAAAAATTACAGCTTTATTGTAATATAATTCACATACCATAAAATTTATCCATTTAAAGTGTGCAATTCAGTGGTTTTTAGTATATTATATTCACAGGGTTGTGCAACCATTACCACTCTCTAATTTAAGAATATTTTCATCACTCTAAAAAGAAACCCCGTAACCATTAAGAGAGATGCTCCATTGCCCCCTCCCGCAAATCCTTGGCAACCACAATCTACTTTCTGTCTCTGGATCAGCTTGTTTTGGAAAATTCTTGTAAATGACTGTGGCTTTTTGTAACTGGCTTATTTCACTTAGCATAATGTTTTCATAGTTCATCCATGTTATGTCTGAGTCAAAACTTCATTTGTTTTAATGGTTAAATAATATGTGTTCTATTTTAAGGTTCCATCACATCTTGTATACCCATTCATCAGTTGATGGACATTTGGGTTGTTTCCACGTTTTGGTGATTATGAATAAAGCTGCTATGAAGTTGATGTTTGTATCATGCAAATGGTCAGGAGGAACATGGGTTTCAACCTTTATCTTTATAAAGAAGGACTTCACTCCTTTTCATTTCATAGCACATTTTGTTCAATAGGCATTTTTTTTTCTGAAAGCCTTGTGTAGCAGTAAAGCTTCAACCATATGTGTTAATGTTGATGAATTGAGAGACATGCTGTTAAAAACTTGAATTTTCCTTTTTGCACTTGAAAGCAATATTTGCAATTAATGGTGCCAATTCTTACTTAGTTCTCGAAGTCAGAGTCCATTGTTGTTCTAGTTGTCCATTGACCAGCGGATGCCAAGGAATTCTTAGCTCCTCTGTTTCACTTGAATGACTTCTTGTCCACATTTAAAAGAATGTACCTGATTTGATTGCCCATTACCAAGGGGATGGCTGTCATCTTGATTAGTCTTTTCAGAGAATAAAAAATAAAAGTCAGAGTGGCTTCAGTCATTACAGAGTTCAGAATGTGCACTAGGTCATGAGTATAATAAAAAAATGTTTTATGACTTGCACTGGGGCATAACTTCAGGCACAGTGAGTATTAAGAATCAGTTAATGATTAAGCGAGGACATTTTCAGACCAAAGAAAAACAGTTTAGGCAGTGCATGTAAAAGCTTCATAGCTTATCCTCCAGAGTGGGGAAAATAAGAATAGTTTTTCAGTCCAAGCAGTTTTGGTAACAATGTTTATATGGTAAATTAACACAAAGCAGGCAACAGTGGGAAATCTAGTTTGGGTACAAGGTTTATAAAGTGCTAAGCTAATCTTTGAAATTTTAATGGGCCTGTTTGCTTGTTTGTATTGGTTTATAACTGGTTCCTCCTGGTGTTATGGTCAGGAATGTTACTCAAGATTTCGTTCAGCATTTAGCAAGCCTAGGGTGATTGTAAAGTTGGCCCACTCATTGTGCAAAAGCTGTTACAGGACACTTGCTGCTGATAAATGGTCATGTTTGTCAGGGGGAAGCAAGTTACTTTTGGTCAATAGACTCGTTATTGGCAAAATTGGATTTTTTTCTTAGCAGATAATGGATTGATAGTAACTCCTCTATTCTGCAGTTTCATCTGTATAGTTGATGGGCTTACTCTTTATTTATCAGGTCATGTTAGAGGAATCTCATTGCTAATATTATTATAGGATTCTCCTGTGTGTCTGGTACTATATCAAGGATTTGCCTACATTATCTTGTTTAATTCTCTCAGTTCCTTACCAGGACAGATAGCAGTGACATCTCTAGTGTGCTGGTGAACAGAGGCTCAGATTAAGTGACTTGTCTGAGCTCTCCTAGGAATGGCAGAGCCAGGACTTGATTGTGAGGCTGACTGTAAAAAGTTAATGCTCCCAAATCTTATTTTCCCTCTTCTTGAGTACACTAAATGAGAAAATGGAAAGCATTTATTATGGAAGATGAAATTTCACCCACAGTTGAGGTTCTTGAATTTTTTCTAAAAAGAGCACTGTGGTTAGAGCCTATTCCTGGAAATCTGTGCTTGACATGTTACTACTTCGGTCTTGTCATTGATTGCAGCGTGACCTTAAGTAACTTCTTCATCTTTCGGAAGCCCATTTTCCTCTGTGAGAATGTTATATGACCTGGTAAAGCACACTCGAATATTTCTAAAGGTCTGTCTCTGTAGCCTACAAGGAGAAAGGCAGCTCAGTCTGGTCATTGGAGTGTTAAATTCTGCTGCTACTCTGCCATCGATTTGCTTGGTGGTTTTGAGTTAAGTCATTGCATTATATGACTATTTTGTTATCTAAAAATGAGGTTAGTAATACTGGTTATTGACTTCTTATGTTGAATCTCAGAGGCCAGCAGAGCTTTCCCAGATCTCGGGGCTTAGGGGGTCTAGTGATTGGAGTTTTGGGCCAGGACTTAGACAGCTGAACTGTGGCTGGCTCTGCTATCTGCAAGCTGCATAACCCACAGACCTCTTCACCTTTCCTTTTCTCTCTACCTTCCCTGAGGGTTATGAGAATTAAATGAGGAATTATGAAGAACTATTTTACGCTTTATAGGTCATAAGGGTATAAGAGATGCTGATTATCCTCAATGTGCCATGAGGATAGTATTTGGAAATCTTAGATTTGATTTAGTCTTCTGTTTTTTGTTTTTTGGACATCTTAGATGACACTTGAGTTGTGGGTTTTCATTTTTGTTCTTTTTGTTTTTTTAGTGGTATGTGTGCAACAGAGAGAAATTATGTGAATCACTCCAGGCTGTCTTTGTTCAGAGTTACCTTGATCAAGGAACACAGATCTTCTTAAACAACAGCATTGAGAAATCGGGCTGGCTATTCATCCAATTATATCACTCTTTTGTGTCATCTGTTTTTAGCCTGTTTATGTCTAGAACATCTATCAATGGGTAAGTGGATCTTGTATATATATTTTTATCCTTGGGTTTAGAAAAAGAAGATGAAAAAGAGAAATTACCTTGTTCAAATGTTGACCACCTCAGCTACAACTCAGCTACAACACCTCTACTAGTCAGAATCCTTGGCAGTAGGTCCAGTGTCTCAGCCTTCTGCAGTTAAGCTTCTTAAATTCCCATAAATTGATAAATAGCCCTGTTAGTCTATATTTCTATTGTGGGAGTACCTGGAGCAGTGCTTCCCAGCTTTTGTGTGCACGGAAATCACCTGGGGATCTGGTTAAAATGCAGATTCTGAGTCAGTAGGGCCAGAGCCTGTGATTCTGCATTTTTAACAAGCTCCCTGGTGATGCCTAGGATGCTGTTAATCGTGGCATAGGGAGTAGCAAGAGGCTTGGGACCAAACCTTTAACATAAGCTGAAGAGTAAGATGTTTGCTTTAAGCGTACTTCCCAGGGGAAAGTTTTCTGGGTGATCTGTTAATTAACCCAACAGTGGGCAATGTCTTATTTTGAGTAAAGGTTCTGGTATTTGTTCTTACATAATGTCTAGGCTCACCAGAACTTTGTAAACTTATTGTGGAATTCTCTCCTTAGAGTGGTTCTGTGATAGAAATCCATATGGAAAAAGCTTTAGGAATGTTTTTTATCCTTTCTTGGTCAAATTTTCAAATATTCCCAAGGCCCAAGAATCCTGAATGCCAAAGAGAAAAACACCATGGCTTGGTGCTTACAAAGCTGTGTTGGACCACTTAAAACTGTGGGGTGGACCTACTTTTTTTTCCATGGTGGTTTGGAGCCAGCTTCTCCTGAATGTCTGGATCCCCATTCTATCATCTGGCCCTTAGATATATTTTCTGGCACTGTGAACCTTTGCTCAACATTTCTTATCATTGTTTATAGGAAAAATGCCCTAAATTTGCCTCCACAAATGGTTGTTATTTTTATATTGGTAGTTGAGTTTATACAGTTCGTTCTAACATTTTGTTTCTAAAGTAGGCTGCTCTGAATTTCTCTTTTATACCACTTACTTTTTCTCTGAAAGGCAGACAAGTCACTGTAGCAGTGATTTTTATCCTTTCCGGGGTTCTGCGCCTCTTTGAAAACAATAAATGGTAGGAATTCTCCCTTTATATAGTATTTATAATCAATACTTTACATATAATTTTGGGAGATTTTTAAACTGAACCATGTCCTCTCTGCCTCTTCTCATTGTACCTTAGTTAGAATTTCCTGCTGTGGAATTTCACAGTTTGGTCAGAGAGGCTCTACAATTACTACATCCCTTTTGAATTTACTTACCTACAGCTCTTGGGCTTCTTTCTCCTTTTTTTTACCCTAACCTGCCCTCCCCATACCCAAAAACATCTCTTGCCCTGTGTCTTATTCTCACCTGAAAACTTAATTGTAAGACCATTGGTGCTTTCCAGCCATTGCAGTGGTGGATGACTACCTTGAATGGTTGTCTCTTACAGAAACAATTACTGTGGTGCCTTCTTGAACTTATCAGATCTCCTTTATATTGGAAAGGGGAAGGCCAAGTAAGGAGAGACTTTGTAACTGTTTTCAGGGTTTATATTATAAGGAAGATACTTATAAGGGGGCTTACCTACACCATAAGCTCTAAATCTACGGAGAACTTAGATTGTGGCCAGATAAACTAGGATGGTTATTAAGCACTAAAAGAAACCCTCACATATGGACATCTCTAACTTTGGAATTTAAAGATGAATTAGAGAGGTGTACCTCTCCCTGGTATGTGTTTGCTGGAAACCTTGTATTGGGTCAGTGTCTTGGTATTTTGAGTGGGTAATTCTTCACTGTGTGGGACATCCCCATGCACTGCAGGGAGTCTAAGTCTCCTGGCCTTACCCACTAAGTGACAGTAACACCACCAAGCCATTGTGACCACCCCAAAGTCTCCCACCTATTGCCAGTGCCTCCTAGAGGGCAAAATCGATCCTGGATGAGAAGCACTGGGTTTGATGGATTTTGATTTATTTTTTATTAGTTTAAATCTTTTTGTGGAGCCTCCATTGCTTATGATCTTTGGAAATAGGACAGTGCTTCTCTCCCTGGTATCTTTAGATGTACACTAGTTAGATGACCTCCTGAGCTATGACCTCTAGCTCTAGAATTTTATGATAATTATGTCAAGATTCCTTATATCCCAAAGAGATGTCTTGGAAAGCATGTTATTTTCTAACTGGGAAAGTTTAAGGCAAATAACTATTTTGCAACTTAATTTTGATCAAGTAAGCACTGTGGCAAGTTAGCGCCAACATTTGAAATGTGCATCCCCGAGCCATGCTGCCTGTAACCTCTTTCTCTCTGACTCTGGCTCCTGTGTGAAGTTTTGTATAGCTATTTCCATAAGTAAAATCCCCTTTTTTTTGAGATTTGCCTTCTGCAGCATGTTTTTCTACTACAAGATAGGAACCACTGAGGATTAAAAACAACTTTCAGTGGATATGGTGTTCTCTGCTAAGCAGCTGTTGAGGTGGGTGACATTGTGTTGAGCAGTCTCTGAGGTCTCCCACTCCACCCCTGGCTTTTTAGCATTTCTCTGGGGCAAAAGATTTACTGTAAGTACATTAATTAGATTTGCTTAAGGTCTCCTAAGACCTTAATGGAAAAAGGGTAGGGGGAGTTTGTTATATGAACACCTTGATTTTAATTTTTTCCTGAAACTGGTTTTCCCAGGAGCACCAAGATGCATGCATCTTCCCAGCCTGTATAACAAACACATTGTTACCTTCCCATTATTTCTGGAAAGTGGCAGTACAGCGCTCCCAGCCATTTCCCAGACCAGTGGTTTTCTTCCACTGTCTGAAGAGCAGAGTGCCTCGGGAGCTGCCTCAGGCTGCAAAGAAAGGCCTGGCAGCGCAGCTGCAGCTCCAGGCTGGGCTCTCAGCCTCCTTTGGGCAGCAGCTCCCCTGTTTACTGTTCTGTGTTGTTCATGAGTTCCACTTCATTTAGAGAAAGGGTTCTGCTGCCTAACGGAGTTTGAGAGTCCCGGCCCTAGACAAACCAGGACTGGAGGTCTGCACAGCAAGTTCTAAGAAGTAAGTGCATTTTATTTCCCAGGATGATGCTTCCCTGAGACTCGGTTTGATTTATAGCTGCTATTCTGAGGGTTCTCTTTGATCTCCATTTTTCCTCCTCTCAGTCTCTTTTTTAAAGCATTACTATGGTTTTGAATGTTTTTTAGGATCTTTAGAAGTAAATAGGATTCATCCAGTTGTATCACACAGAAAAGGACACAAATATAAATCTACTTTTTTAATGCGAATTAACTGGTATCACAAAGAACACTCTTTCCTCTAGTGTCTCTTAAAAATCTATTATACTAAAGCTATTTTTTCCTTACCCATTGTTTAGTTTCGTAATGGGCGTTTTTTCTGCTTGATTTTTCTGCTTAGTTTCTTGGCTAACATGGTCTGATTCTGTTGGCCTGTAATGTCTTTTAACTGATAAACGTCTTTTCTGTTACTTTTTTCCATCTCTCCTTCATACTTTGACATAAACTCTTCACATTCATCTTTAAATTTCTAAATTCGTTTCTTCTTCCCTTCTCTTCCCCTCTCATCCTTCTTCCTTTCCACCTTTTATTCCTCTCCTCTGCCCACTCTTTTTGGAGTATTATTTGCAACCTCAGAGACAAATGATGGTATCTGGAGATATTTTCTTATTTTACTAACTTGACTTTTTAATCATATAAATCATATGAATGATAATGTATGTTTAATCATGTAAAATAAACATTTTATAAGTTCAAAAGGCTGTGCTGAGGTTTTGCACTCACTGTGTGTGTGTTGTGGGTGTATGTGTGTGCTGAGTTTGTATAGACACTGCCATTTTTGTCCCTTTTCTTTCCAGGCTGCTAGGAAGAGGCTCAATGTTTGTGTTTTCACCAGATCAATTTCAGAGACTGCTTAAAATCAATCCAGACTGGAAAACCCATAGACTTCTTGATTTAGGTGCTGGAGATGGAGAAGTC